GAGGTCAGGAGGAGACTGAACGCGGTGAACCCCAGGAGAGGTATCTCAGAGGGTGTGGTTAAAGCCTGCGCACACAAACTGGCAGGGATCCTCACCAGGCTGTTCAACCTCTCCCTGATTCACCCTTCCTACCTGTCTGTAGGCCTCCACCATCACGCACAAAAAGACTGGTACAGACAATGACTACAGACCTGTAGCCCTCACGTCTGTAGTCATGAAGTATTTCGAGCAGATGGTGTCTCAGCACATCAGCGACTGTCTACCCCCTCGACCCTCACCAGTTTGCTTACAGTGCAAATCGGTCAAAAGTTGATGGCATCACCATCACCCTTCACAGAACGCTGAGGAAGAACTACATGAGGATGCTCTTTGTGGACTACAGCTCAGCGTTCAACACCATAATCCCCTCATAATCATCCTCCCCACCAAACCGGACCACCTTCAGATCGCACCCTGCCGCCTGCTTCTACAGCTTGAATATGAAAGCATTATGTGTGTATTCCACTTAAAAACGTCTTTGATTAAAACACACTTAGATGTTTAAACTCTGAAATCATACCAGGTCAGTATTTAAAAGCTTATTAATAAAATACCAGTTGTATTAATTTTATTTAGTCTAGTCTATGACAGCATTAGTCAACAATGTTAACTGACTTTTGCAAAAAATAAAATGAATACAAATAAAATGCTGATAATAGAGTGTAACTGCAAACTCTATAACTCTCAGCAGCTCCCTTATTCACAGGGGATCTCCACAGCAGGTAGCTCAGCATATTTGATTTGGCACATTTTTACGCTGCATGCCCTTATCGACGCAGCCCCATGGGGAAATTCTACGAAACGCTTTGAACGTAGCGCATTGTGGTTAATATTTGTGATCAGTTCATCCAGTGAAATTTACCATAAACTGTGGTTTAGCATATTTATGCACACAAGTGTTTTCTGAGTTAACACCTTTAATAGTTGTCTTTGCATTTCCTGTTCTGATATGCTTGTTGTCGTGCGGTGTAGGTGTCGGGCCGCTCTCTGTTCTACGCTCAGTGCACATGACTGGCCATGGACAGCTTGTGATGGAAACTAGCGTGCAGAGTGTGGGAATGGTGCAGGGCCAGGTGACAGGAGGGACAATAACAACTCTGTGGAGAAGGTCATCAGACACACATAAATAACCTGAAAAACAGGAAGGTGAATTTAGCTCGTGGATCAAAATTTGGGCCCACGGTT